GTACTGAGAAGGGATGTCCTTGAACTGGAGAGAGTCCAGCGGAGGGCAACAAAACTAATTAGGGGAATGGAGGACCAGAGCTATGAGACAAGGCTTCTGACCTTACATGTTTACGCTGGAATTAAGAAGATTAAGGGGGGATATGATTTTCATGTACAAGATGTTCAATGGTGGCAGCAACATTGGCAACAAACTGTTTGAGATTAACTCCATTACAAAGACTAGAGGTCATCACCTAAAGTTGGTGGAGAAAAAATTCCAGCACAAGGGGCGAAGGGGGTTCTTTACAGTAAGAGCGGTTAAGGTCTGGAACTCGCTGCCACCGGCAGTGATTTCAGCCAAGAGTGTAGATTTGTTCAAGAAACGTTTGGACAATTTCTTGAGGGACTGTAATATCCAAGGGTACCAGTATCCCTAAGAATGAGATGATGCGCGGACCTATATGGGTTGGACTTGATGGACGTATGTCTTTATTCAACCCCAAATACTATGTAACTATGTAAGAAGCACAGTCGCGACTGGGGTGCCATTAGAAAATAATGGCACCCACAGTGCGATCGGTGCACACCTAGGAGACTCATGACCGCACGGCAATCCGCGTGTAATCGTGCACGATTGCCGCGCGGTGAGGTGTCGCCTAGGTGTGCACCGGCCCTAAGTGCTGGTACACACCTAGGCGATTTATCGCGCAAAAAAACAGATTTGCATTAAAGTCAATGGAAGCTGTTCACACCTTTTGCCGTTTGTCGTGCGACTGAAATCGCCTGTCGTGTGAAAAGGTACAGGAGCTATTTTCGGCGGTTGTCGCGCGTTTTGGGAACCCATAGACATCTCTATGCATTGAAAACCACGTGACAACCGCGCGGTTTACACTGAACAGTCGCACGAACGAAAACAGCTCAACATCTGAATCGCCTAGGTGTGAACCTAACCTCATTTGCTCTCCCAATAGTTCTCCTTTAAATCTTAAAAATGTATTTAAGCACCTTAACTATGAACAACAATGTATCTTATTTGTGTATCACTCGGCTGTAGATCCTCCAATCATCTCTGAATTGGCGCTGACACTGTCCTTCCTTCTGGAGGGGGGTTACTTGTGTTCCCCATGGTCCCTGTGTGTTTTGTAAAGTAGTCACCGCTCCAAGCTCCGCCCCTAGGATGGACTACAATCTCATGTTTAGTTTACTCATTTGCATTGAGATTGAAAATACACTCCGTTGGCTGACCTTGGCTCCCTTGTAGGTATAATAGGCTGCACCCTTATAAGAAATTAACCTACTTTTATAATGATCGCCGTCGCTTCGCGGATCCACTTCAAACTGAGCCGCAGAAGGGAAAAAGAAACGTCCACAATAGTCCGTCACCACTCCCCAGTATTGAGTGCTTTACTATTGTTTTCATGGAGTTGTTGATCATTTTCTGCTAATTGCTTTTTTATTATTATTATTATTATTCCTGCTGTAGAACTCGCTGTACTTTCCCATCGTATTTTGTTGTCGTTGCGGAGAGGGCCGCAGGGTTTAACTGTCTGCGTCTCTGTCCTCCTTATTACTGAGGGGAGCAGGCTGCACTGAGCGTATCCGGCAGCTGCGGATGCCTGGAAACTGCAGCGTGATTTGACTTCACTGTCATTGGGGGGCTTGGTATTA